AGTGACTCTAAGCCAAACGAAAGATGCTCTATGGAGTAAATGAGAAACATAGTATTTGAGAGATTTTGCTCGTGGGATGACCGGAAAAGAAGAGATATCCAGAAAAAGACCCATGGAAAATTGTCATAAGAAACCAGAAAGAGACTAAAACTAAAGGGGTTGGACATTAGTCTCAAAAAAATGGGATCAGTTTGAGAGTTTTCGAGCCTAAACAATTAGATCCATTTTACAAAGGGAATATAGTTGTATTTATAAAATTTTACCTGTCGCGGCTTGGATATCGGGTTTCGCATCCTTCGTTGGGTCGGTCCGGATTTCTGTGCTTGACCCAGTACGATGTGCTCCAGTATTTTTTTACCTGTTTTTCTTGTCTTCTTATACCATTTGGCCGACCATATGACTCTGCTATGTTGCACATGATCTCTCGTACCATTGACAGCGCCTGGCACGGCGGGTGGGATGCCGAAATGCTTCTTCGGAATCAACTCTTTTATGCTTTAATCGTTTTCCAAGTATGGACTACATGCTTTTACATTAGCACGCATAAGGTAAATGTGTTTTTACCTCTTTGACTAAGAATTCAAACGATAACATATAGAAGAATTTGAACTTGACGCTTTATATATAGTATGTCATACCTAGCCCGAGTTGTTAATATGAAAATTCGATCGTCTCTAGGTTTTGACTTGAGTTCCTTACCTAGCTGGTGACTTAGTTCCATGCATCAATTACTCCGGGTGACAGTATAGGCCACTCGGGCTGTTGATCAGGCTCAGGCGGATTCATCTATTCATTTGGCCCTTTGTACAATTTGACCCAAACTTTTTTAGGGCTTCATTAAAAGATAAGTTAAGAGAGAATTTATTTTATCCCCAACATTAGCTAATAAAGAAAATTATATTTGTTTATGTTAGAATATTGACTTATGTAATGATCGAAATTAACATAATACATGTTACAATAATATACAACGTGAACACATATATACAAACTTAAAATAATAAGATATGATTCCATCGAATTAATATCGGATTTTTGACATATGGGATGGAAGTATTACTGGGTGCCACTAGCCACTTTTTCCATAATTCGACGGATTTAAATCCTCTTAATAATATAGTTTCGTTCAGAGTT